AAGGTCTATGTGTCTGGGGAGGTCATTCAAACAGTTACACATTTTAAATATCTAGGTATTATCCTTGACACTACTCTGTCCTTCAAAAACCAGGTGAGCAAGGTAATGCAAATAACCAAATACAATCTAGCCTGTTTGACAACAACTGTAGCAAAGCTCTACATGAATGCTATGATCATTCCCCACTTAACATATTGTATGACGAGCTGGACCCAGGTGAATAGCACAACATTAAGGCCTATCTTATCACTTCACAAACAAGCGCTTAAAGTTTTGGACAGAAAACCCAAGCTTTACCACCACTGTTACATCCTTGACAAATATAACTTGCTCAGCTGGGAAAATATTTTAAAACACACTGACGCATGCCTAATTTTTAAGCTTATCAATGGAACCACAAGGTCTGCCCTAAGAGGGGACTGTGTAGTCCCTCTTAGGTCCAGCTCCTTTGGTCAATTATGTTTCTCTGTGAGAGCCTCTAAATTATGGAACCAATTGCCAGTGGAGATTAGAAATTGCACCTCCCACCATACATTTACCCACCCCAAGAACTGGCTTTTAAGCAATCAAAAATGTGAACACCTTTTATAGTATTTAATCTGAGTGCATGTTTGTCTGTTGCTATGTATTGTTGTAGCTGTGCTGTCTAACCCATGGTGGTTTGTATGAATGGTTGTATGGTTATATGTTTTAATGGAACCAGTATATTGGCATCATGTTATGCTTTTGTTATCTGTTGCTGTGTGTATTCTTTAACAAGTTTTTTTTTATTTTTTAGCCATCCTGTGCCTAGCTTAACATCTTACCAAAGGACTACAGTTGAAAATTAACCTGCTGGCTAACACTGGCACATTTACAGAAATGTTGATTAATGTACACTGTCCTTTAATAAATAAATGAAATGAAACCAACAACCTGGTGAGTGAAAATAAGTGAGTGCCAGTGCCTTGTAAAGCCACCTCCTTCCCCAGCCTCTGTTGGTGTAAAAACAGCGCACTGCGCGGCACAGCGCGGCCCTGCGTGGCCCTGCGCGGGCAGTTGGGACACTCCATAGAAAACAATAGAATAATGGTGCGATCCCACTGCATACAACAAGTTACGAAATTTCACGCAAACCTTGCTTGTCACCTAGTCTCCCTGCTGCTTGTAGGCGTGAACCATGGCGCAAACGTATACTCCATGGCCTCACAGACAGCTGTCAATCACAGCAGCGCATGCAAAGTTCAAACTTACTTTTTCTTTAGGCCAAATGCGTCAGGTTCAGAATTACATTACAAATATCTCGTACCAAATGCTTTCAGAATGAGGTTTCAGTGCATTGTTTATGTATGAAACATCCAGAATATCCAATCAAACGGCGGATGGCGCAGCTCACATTGTACTCATTAGAATTAGTGCTGGGTATTGTCCACAACCTCACAATTCAATTCAATTTAAATTATTTGGGTTACTATTCGATTTGATACTGATTCGATTCAATATTGACCAATATTCTTCTATATCAATTTAATAATACGCATAGATGACAGAAATACCCAGATAATTAATCACAGTACCTTTCCTATATTTTTTAAATAATGTGTGCATTATTTGTATTGGTTTAGAACAAATTGACTCAGAAATGTATTTAATCTTTTCATTATTCTTTAATAAACAAAAAACCCATTGAAGTACAGTATGCGGAAGTATGGCGGCAGGCGTCATTACAACAGAAATAATCGATCTCAGGATTTCCCTGAACCGATATTATTAAAAATAATTGCAATCGACGCATTGATTAATCAATATTTGTAACCAGCCCTAATTAGAATATTGTTCACTGAAGTTCAAATTTTGTCCCACCCCTTTCTCGCGTCTTGTGCCTTGGCCTGCTCACCAAGCATTCCATAATCCTTTGCCCATGTCCAATACAAAGTGAATAGGGTGTGAGAATTATTGCATATAGTGGGTCTGGGTCGCCAGTCTAATTTTTCAACCAACTGTCCTGAGGTATCTCTGGAGGCTTATGAGGTTGGCATGGTAGAGGAAGACTATACCCAAAGTGTGGTGTAGAGAAGGTGGCAGAGAACATCAGCCAATTTCGATCGATCTCCCTACTGAATTTCGAGGGTAAAGTCTTCTTCAGTATTTTTGCTCAGAGGTTGTGGGAGTATCTGCAAAGAAACAAGTACATTGATACATCTTTGCAGAAGGCAGGAGTATACAGGTTCTCTGGGTGCTTCAAACATTCCAGCATGATCTGGCACCAGATCCAATCTGCAAAGGCGGAGAAAAGGGACCTTCATTTAGTCTTTCTTGACCTTGCCAAAGCCTTTGGATCAGTGTTTTTGTTTGCCATCTGAGTTTACCACCTCTTCGCAACTCCTGGAAGTGGGCATTATGGCAGGATGCACCATCTCACCCCTCACTTTCCCAATGGCAATGGAGGTTATCATCCATGCCTCAAAGTGGGTGGTTGGTGGACAACGCCTCACCTCGGACCTGCGTCTCTCTCTCCTCTCAGAGCTTTTATGGATGAAATTACTACTCTGACTTCCACCGCCCCGTGATATCAGCTGGGCTCGCATGAAGCTAAATGCACATCTAAATCACGCAGCATTTCCACTGTCAAGGGAGTACTGTCTAATATTAGATTCTTCATTGGGGATGACCCAATCCCAAGAGTATCTGAGAAGCATGTCAAAAGTCTGGGAAGGTGGTATGATGCATGCCTGAAAGACAAAGACCAGATACAACAAATGCAGAAGGCAGTCTCCCTTGGCCAACAAGGACAGTGGACATGATGGGACAGTTTAGAGAGGAGGAAGATCAGCTTTGGGGCAGAGGCAAGCCGACTAAGCTTTATCATTAGAGCTACGTCTGACGTCTTCCCAACACCGGTTAATCTTCAGCAGTGGGTGGGTGAAAATCCAGGCTGCTTCCTCTGCTCCAGGCAACCTCCCTCAAACACATACTTACAGTGAGTAAAGACAGCCTCACCCAGGGATTTTACACCTGGCATCACAATAATGTCCTTAAATGCCTCACCTCCACCCTGGAAAGCAAATGAGTAGCCACCAACTCCGCACCACCACCACCACCATCAGCAACCAACACCCCGCAAACTACCATCTTCATCCGTGAGGGGGCCAAAGCAACCAAGAGCAGACCCACTCCTCTGGAAAGAGGCCAGCTTCGCTTAGCCCATGACTGGATGATGCTAGTTGATGTTGGTTGGCAGCTCGTATTTCCCAACCACCTCCCTGAGGTCTGACTTGGTACTCTTGTCTCCTTCTCTTAGAAAGGCCTTCATTGTTGAACTAATGGTACCCTGGGAGGTCTCAGTGGACGAGGCATATGAGCGGAAGCAGCTGCGTTGTGCCGAGTTAGCAGCAGAAGCACAACTCTGTGGCTGGAACACCGAAGTTTGTTCTGTGGAAGTGGGGTGCAGGGGGTTCGTGGTGACATCTACCATGAGGTTGCTCAGAGACCTAGGAATCAGAGGTCAGATCCTGAAGGCAGTATCCAAAGCTATGTCGGAGGCAGCGGAGAGAAGCAGCCAGTGGCTGTGGATGAAGAGGCAGGACTCCTGCTGGGCCCCAAGGTAGCAGTCCAGGTTGGCACAGAGGGGGTTGTTTCTGGGACGCCATTTTATTTATTTATTTATTTTTTATTAGGTGCTTGCACATAAGGGATTTTCTACATCTTGCCCTGTGTTTCTTAAATCTGTCACTAACTCGCTTGCTTATTGTACTATTAGGACAAGCTTTAAGACAACTTGCAGATGCAGGGCGTGTTGCCTTTCAGGACTAATGGGGTCCATGATACTATGACTTATTTAGACGAAGAAAATGTCATGTTTGCTAAGTTCTTTTACTTTTATTTTTTTATTGAAATCACCATTCAGGACTATTAACAGTTTGAAATTCCTGCATCCAGATTCAACAAATGCACATGAGAGATGACCATTCATAAACAAAGACCACATTTAAAATAAACAAGGTAAATAATAAAACACAACAAACAAAGGCAAAGCTCTTGACAAACCAAGTAAAAACAAATACAAAAGAAATGCCTCCTGAATCGGGTTTACTTTAGGTATTACAGCTTTATTGTTGGTGATTAAATTAAAAGACACAATACAGTTTTTACATTCACTGATGACTACTGTGAACCGTGGGTGAGACTAGTTGAATTTTGACTTATTAATGTCCCTTTAGAGAGTAGAAAGCGAATAATTAAAGCCATCTTCCTATCTGTTCTGGACTACGGGGATGTAATTTATAGACATGCTTCTGCCTAAAATCATTAGACACAGTTTATCACTCCGCCCTCAGATTTATCACTGGTGACAAATAGTCCAATCATCATTGCATCCTGTACGATAAAGTTGGTTGTCCTTCACTAACAGTTAGACGTGAACGGCATTGGCTGCTATTTACTTATAAATCACTTTCGGGTAATCTACCAGCATACATCACTTCTTTATTAATCTGGGCTGATAATCAGTATCAGACTCGATCAAGTGACTGGCTAATGTTAACGGTTCCACATGTAAAAACTAACTTTGGGAAAACATCCTTCACCTATTGTGCTGCACACACCTGGAACACAATACAAAACACATTAAAACTCAATACAATGGAAACCATGGGTCAATTTAAAAACCTGATCACAGCTCACTGTACTCATGAGTGTAAATGTTATTAACTGTAGTTACCTGCTTACTGCTTATTCTTCTGGTCTTATAATCTATGTATTTTGTCTTAGATGTTTTTTTGTCTCTTATTCGTTTTAATTGTACTCTCGACGTCATTGTAAATGAGGGTTTGCCCTCAATGATTTCTCGAGAATAAATAAAAGTCAAATGAAAATGAAATGAATGTGAAATTTACCAATAAGTATTCAGAGGTGATTTTAGCGTCTGGTTGGTGTGCGTGTCTGTAGTGGTGACGTGTCTCTTAGGTTTCTGCTCCTCCTCTTGCTCCTCCTCCTTGCTCCTCCTCCTTGTCCTTCCTCTTGCTCCTCCTCCTCCCGGCGACTCAATAGTGAGACTGAAGTGTGGTCAGATTTATACATTATAGGAGCAGCGAGGAGTACTGCTTAGACATCATGGGCAGTAAGTATGAATCTGAATGGACATATTCTGTGACATATCTACATATATATATTTGGGGTGTGTTGAGAGAGAGCTGAAATGTTGTTTTAACTTTTTTATTTTACAACTTAGTTTACGGTGTTAGCGCTGGCATTGAAAGCAAGCTAACTTAGCCTGGTTTGCTAGCTAGCTATATGGCCGTGGGTTTGTACTCTTGTGAGCCTTTCACAATATGACTTTTTTTGTGGAGTTCATTATACATTGAGGGTGGCTTCTTCTTTAGGTTGGTTATCTTGCTCGTAGTGTGATCTTAAACTCAAAATGCGGGTACTCTGGAAGCATATTTTATGCTAACTAGTTAGCCACTCATTCAGAGACACTGACAATCTAGTGATGACGACGCATTACACACCACTGTCATCTCTGGTCTCCACAACCTGAACCTGCTCATAAATGTCAATAACAAACATCTGTAGTCGATTATATAAAGTTATAACGAACCAACCAGCAAAAGTTTTGTGAAATTAGCGTAGCTTTATTTTTTTATCATTTTATTTATGTCTTGAATCCGCCCACTATCCACTGCCACGTCCCACTGCTGATGTCCTGCTATCATCTCAAGTTATTTCACTTACACTTTGATGTTTGCTTGTTTTCAGTCAAATTCTTGGAGGTAATAAAGCCATTCTGTGCAGTGCTGCCAGAAATCCAAAAACCCGAGAGAAAGGTTTGTTTTACTCATTTTTATAGGATCATTGTCTCACTGTGGCGATAAGTTTTTTTTCCTTATAAAACTTTTCTAATTGATTGTCCAACAGATCCAGTTCAGGGAGAAAGTATTATGGACTGCCATCACTCTTTTCATCTTCCTGGTGTGTTGCCAGGTAAGCTTAACCAAGTATTACTGTCAGTATTGTCACATAATCTATTGCTGCAATCAGTTTACATGTTAAATCTGTAAAAATCAATGTGGTTGCCATTTGTAAAACTTTCCAGATTTAAACAACATATATATTATGCATTCTAAATCAATGCATGAACTCACATTATTTATGACAATCTGCTCCTTTGAGCTTTTGTCAATTTAGATTCATGACTGACTTTCAGGTTTTAAAGTCAACCGAAATCTTGTAAACAAAGGGGTTCAAGTGGCTGCAGTGTGAACTAATATTTTATTATGGTTTGTTAACTGATTAATTGTTTCCATTAATAATTTTGACTTCTTTGGAAAAAGTCTAAAATCCACATTGACCACACATGTTGCTCAAAGTTCTGCATTGAATTTGTTTTTTTCTGTTGCTTTTGCGCCAAGAATTACAGGAAGTATATATTTTACATTTATGTTTCACAAAAGAAGACTATTTCTTTTACAGTGCATTTAATCTGATAAATGCACAAATCTCCCTAAATGATATGTTTAAGTGAGTATGATCGTGTCAAACTCGCCCTTGGTAGGAACATGTGAGCAGAGCAGAGTCATTGCTCAGGACAGCAAACCACATGAAAGACATTCATGCTCTGCTGAAATAAAAACAAGTGCAAATATATTACGTCAATCCTTAAAGAAAGTATCCTGTGCCTTTCTTTTAGAGAGGTGGGTTTCGAGTTCAGGGCAGGCCGCCTCTCTCCATATGGGGAGAGGGAAACCCTGCAGTACTTCTATTTACACGTGATTTGGTTCTATTATATTTTGAGAGTAGTAAAATCAACACTTGCAAGTTCATAAAAGCTGTTAAAATAAATAATAAAAAATGCCTCACACTGTGAAAATCTTTTCTCTAGATCCCCCTCTTTGGCATAATGTCATCAGACTCTGCGGATCCATTCTACTGGATGAGAGTAATCCTGGCCTCAAACAGAGGTATTTCTTTCTCTAATAATTGAAAAAGAGATTAAATAAAGGGGGCCCTTCCTGCTAGGTTATTCTAACCTGTGTATTGCCCTCCAGGTACCCTGATGGAGCTGGGTATTTCCCCTATCGTCACCTCAGGCCTGATAATGCAGCTGCTGGCTGGAGCTAAGATCATTGAAGTTGGAGACACACCAAAGGACAGAGCCCTCTTCAATGGAGCTCAGAAATGTAAGAAAGCACTTATCAAGTGATGATCTGTAAACATATGGAAAGGGACCATGTCCAATTCAATGTCTAACCTTTGTTACTGTTTTTAAGTGTTTGGAATGATCATCACCATCGGCCAGGCAATTGTATACGTAATGACCGGCATGTATGGAGACCCCTCAGAGATGGGTGCAGGAATCTGTCTGCTCATCATCATTCAAGTAAGAAAGGGACATTTTCTATAATTTTTCATAGCAATTTTGAAGGTTGATGAAAAATAAAAGGCAGTCAGTATAGGGATAAAAAAAAATCATATATGTGATAATGGATGATATGATGTAAGCTTAAGCCCAAATTTCTTAAATACCATAGTTTCAAAGTTCTTGGTACATTGGTAATTTATGATCTCACAAATCCTAAAAACAGACTTGCAACTGAAGTACAAGAGATGCATTGAGATCATTTCAAAGTGTCTTGACGAAACCTCTCATTCAAGTCCTAAAGTTCAGTAATGTTTCGCTCTTTATAATTTTTTTGACCAGCAGGTTTGCTGATTAATTGAGATCATAAGAAATTCAAATATGCTCTAATGCTGCACTTATTAAGCTTACTCTGTTTTGAAGTTCAGATCTTGAAAACATAGCATAACTCTTCTTGTCAGAATAAATGCCAAATACTTTAAAAAATATGACAAACAAAAGAAACAGTTTCCCATCACTAGCTCAGTTCCTTCTAAGCTGACTGTTCATGTTGTGTTCTTCCAAAGCTCTTTGTGGCTGGGATGATTGTTCTGCTGCTGGATGAATTGCTCCAGAAGGGCTACGGTCTTGGTTCAGGGATTTCACTCTTTATTGCCACCAACATCTGTGAGACGATTGTTTGGAAGGCCTTCAGCCCCACAACAGTGAACACTGGAAGAGGTAAGGAACTATGTGGGGGTTTGATTTATAAATGTAGAGGCCATAGCAGGGATGGGGAAAGTCCATTCTGTAGCTTTTAGTTACTCCACAGAGCCGAGCCTCATCCCGTGTCTTTCTATGTTTCTAGGTACAGAGTTCGAGGGAGCAATCATTGCCCTTTTCCACCTGCTGGCCACTCGCACAGACAAAGTGCGTGCTTTGAGAGAGGCCTTCTACAGACAGAACCTGCCCAACCTCATGAATCTTATTTCCACTGTGTTCGTCTTTGCTGTAGTGATATACTTTCAGGTATGCAGCTGTCTTTTCAGAGTAAAAAAAACAAAACGTCCAGGTCATGAAATGAGGGTATATTCGCAGTTTTATTGTTCAGTCATCCTACATTTTCACCTCACCTCACAGGGATTCAGGGTGGATCTGCCCATCAAGTCAGCACGTTACCGTGGCCAATATAACACCTACCCCATCAAGCTCTTCTACACCTCCAACATCCCCATCATCCTCCAGTCTGCTCTGGTCTCCAACTTGTATGTTATCTCCCAGATGCTTTCGACACGCTTCAGTGGCAACTTCCTGGTTAATCTGCTTGGTACCTGGTCTGTAAGTAATTGTTTAATCAACCTTTCTATTTAGTTTTTACAGCTGAATGCAAAGAATGCTACACTTATTTAGATGTTCTATTGCAATTTTATTTGGGGGGGGGGTGGTTTAACAGATTTTTGTAACCCAACATTACAATATTTGTTTGCCTGTTAAAAGCTTTTATTGTTCCGTCATGTTTGCAGGACACAACGTCAGGTGGTCCGGCCCGTGCCTACCCTGTAGCTGGACTTTGCTACTACCTCTCTCCCCCTGAGTCGTTTGGCTCAGTTTTGGATGACCCGGTCCATGCAGTCATCTACATTGTCTTCATGCTCGGATCATGTGCCTTTTTCTCCAAAACCTGGATTGAAGTTTCAGGCTCCTCTGCTAAAGATGTAAGTTGTAGTCCTAGTCCCGCTGTTATAAGACAGGTGATGGCATGAGTGTATTCGAAACGGACTGCGTTTAACCTTATTTAATTGACTTTCATCCAGGTGGCCAAACAGCTGAAGGAACAGCAGATGGTGATGAGGGGACACAGAGAAACCTCAATGGTTCATGAACTGAACAGGTAAAACCAAAAACCCTTTCATGTACAGTTCTTTCCTGCTTTTCATTTACATACAATTTTCTCATTCAGAAAGTTAAAATCTTTCATCGTGGTTTTTTGTAATCTGTTTTGTCACACAGAAATAACTCTCATTTCATTATCAAATCTACTATACATACCGTCATCCTGTTTCACCTAATAACATTAGTATTAGTCAATGTGGGCTGCGGTGGTTTTACCAACAGTTAACTTTAACATGCTAAATCACATACATTTCCATTTTAAACACTGCAGCTATCAAATACTTTGTATAATAAGACAATCCAGACTCAAGCGTACAAGTGTAGGTTTAACTTCTTGCACTAGACTCACCTTTCTTGTTTTTTCACATGTTTGTTCTATAATGAGATTTGTGTTTCCTAAAATGCTCTAAAAGTCATACATATAAAAGTTTAGTACTTCTTGCAAAAAATGCAGCAATGTCGATTACTGAGCTCTATTAAACTCATTCAAAGTAGGCAGCAGTTCAATAATTATAGTTACAGGTAATAGTTATTTTATGCACTGTCATCAAGAATGACTTTCAGTATCTTTCTTCCATTCTTTATGATTATAACTTCTGGTTAGTTTCTTTTGTATTAATATTTATCGGATTATCCCTGTTTTGTGCTCCAGGTACATTCCTACAGCTGCTGCCTTCGGTGGACTGTGTATAGGTGGACTATCAGTAATGGCTGACTTCCTTGGAGCCATTGGCTCTGGCACTGGTATCCTGCTGGCTGTCACCATCATCTATCAGTACTTTGAGATCTTTGTGAAAGAACAGAGTGAAGTAGGCAGCATGGGGGCCCTGCTCTTCTAAAAAAAAAAAAAAAAAAAAAGTTTAAACTCCCACTGTCTACAAACTTTATCACGATTACCAACCTTGCATTTCTTTTACATCTACGTGAAGCCCCTGCGTCTGTAGCTTTCAAGAGCATTATGAGGAGTCTCCGGGGATCTCAGCTGAAATGGGAGCTGCACGGCATGTTGTTCCACAAATCTTCCTAATTTTCACAAAGAATGACATTTCAATACATCAGATTTTCTGTCTGACTTGAAATCCCCAAGATCTTTCTTGTGTATGAGATGAAGTCCTTTTGGAGTTTGGATGTTTTTCCAGACTGACAATAGAGTGCTTCAGTATGCAGGCGTACTCAATACAAAGGACAGAGGTCAACTGCCTGCTTTGTGCTTAAAAAACACTTGATACTCTGCTTGATGTTGTCTAAGTTTATTTTCATCCTTATTTTAATTTTCCATGAACCTGACAATTACATGACTGTGTGGACCAGTACTTGAACCATCAAATGCTGAAGTGTGAAGTTCTGTCATTTCTGATGTGTGACCCTTTTTATAGATGTTATATGAATAGGGTCTTGTAAGAAGAGGAAGTTGAGCTCACATTAGGGTCGGACTGTAGTAAAATTAAATAATTTTGTTGACAGTCAACTTATGAACCATTAAGAAGGACCCTCTCTATTTAAATTTATGGCATTCCCAAGGAGATGCAGTATTAACTCACACGTCATGTTCTCTTTTGTTATCCCCTTTAGATTTTGTTTTTAAAATATTCTCCTTCTAAGCATACTGGCCATTAATTGCTTTCCACACCTGACAAATTATGATTTTGTGTACATAGGCCATAAATCGAATAACTTTGTATTTGTCTTAAGTGTAAGATAAAGCTTTTGATTGTGTAAAAATTTCTGCATTTCAGAACAAACTTATAGAAAAACATTCTCAATAAAACCTTTTGTGACAAATAGGTTAATCATTTGTCTTCTTTTGATAAAGCAAGCAAATTTTAACAATTACATTGTTTATGCATGTATTGTGATCTTCAGTGCATGAGATCATGATTTATATTTCTACAACTTACAATTTCCTCAATCAAATGGAAACTGGAACATGTCATTTTTATCTGCTCCAAATATAGAAATGGAAGACAATTATTAAAAAACGATATGGGACATGAAGGAAATAAATGTGGATCGATAAACAATCTTCTCAAATAGTTGGGGGAAATCAGTATCCCAGCATTTCTTCATCTTTCTCTACAATTCTGGACTGATAACAATGGTATTAACAATGAAGGAATAATGGACTAATACATCAGTAGGTGGCGGTAATGCTCCGCCTGGTCGCCATTTGAAGACGAACACACTGTTCCAACAGTTTTCCACCGGTGGCGGCAAAACGCCCCCGGAGCGTCTGCGCTACCGGAAACAGAACAGTAGAAGAAGAAGACTCATTTCACTCAAGCGAGGGTAGTTGTGAAACGAGCTGCAGTGGTGGACAGGAAGCCCTGACAATTTGTTATGTATCGTTGTGCGACAACAGGATTGGTTATCCTCGTAACATTTTCTGTGCATCAATAAGAGGAATTGAATCTATATTGAAGAAATGAGCTCGCTCAGGCAGGAAGGTAACCGTGCATTGCTATCTGGCTAAAGCTAATATTGAAGTTAAATATAGTCTGACTGATGAATAAATGTTGGATTTTGGTCCTTGAAATGATTGAACAAGCGTCTGACTAAGATGAGAGCAGTGTTAGTTTACTGTCACATCGGAGTTTAACCTTGACCAGCATCCACAGTGACGTGTAATGAAGCATATATCTCATAATGACTTACTGCAAGGTGAGCTTCATTGAAAGTCAATTGTAGTACAGTCAATGAATGGTTTTCAAGATTTTGTCTTGTTGTCATGAACATTTGACAGTGCTGATTTCAGTAAACAGTAATTTAGGACTTGTACTTAATTTGCATTTTAAGAGCAAATGAAATCTATATTTGAGATAGAACTATTTCGCTTTTAAGCAATAACCTTTATTGGACAAAGAAAGCCTATACACACTTAAACCTTTATGAGCGCACACATGTTTTGGTGTGACACAGTGTAATCAAAATTATTCTCTATTACCTCTTTCCACACTTTGTAATTATTATTCATTTGACATACATGTCAAACGTTCATATAAACTAGAATATCAGCTGCTAATTTGAAGCAAGTTGCCACAATATTCATAACTGATCATTTGTTTGTTTCGTCCTGCAAAATGTTACACTCCAGGTAAAGACAGAATCATCTTTGTGACCAAAGAGGATCATGCAGCACCCAGCAATGCTGAGCTTGTAGAGGAGGATCCTGATGACCCATACGAGGAGCGAGGTAAGGAGCAGTGAAATCACAAAGAGGAACACAATGTCTGATATATCAGGAGCTCGAGGTTAAACTTTGAAATGCTTTATTAGCTGCACATTAATTTATATCTGCTTTTTAATCCCAGGTCTGATTCTTCCCAGTGGGGAAATCAACTGGAGCTGCCCCTGCCTGGGTGGGATGGCCAGTGGTCCCTGTGGGACTGAATTTAAGGAGGCCTTCTCCTGTTTTCACTATAGTAAGGAGGAGGTGAAGGGCTCTGATTGTTTGGATCAGTTCAGGTCCATGCAGGGGTGTATGCAGCGTTACCCAGAGCTCTACCCACAGGAGGATGAGAACGAGTCAAGAGAAAAATCATCAGAAAAAGACCAGACATCACAAGACTCCGCATCCGCAGAAACATCAGGTGCAAACTCAACATCTGACTTTCAAAAAGACTCCAACACCACACAACCCAACAAAGAAGGTGCAATGGAAAGCTAATAATCAGCCCTCGGGTGATGTTGGCAACAAGACTTTAAGATCTAACTGAAATCCCATCTAGTCACGCCCCTTTCTGCAGGCAAAAATATCATTTTCTTTTCAATTTACTTTTTTTAAAATTGGAAGTAAATTTCAGAGAAGTATAGTCATCATACTATAGGAAGCCAATGGAACATACTATATGTGCATTATTGAATTCAGAGGGCTGTCCAAGTGGCCTGCGGAGGACTGAAAAACAAAGTAGACAAACTTCCACCCTTACCTCACAATCAATCTGCTGATAATATGTTAAAAAAGAAAGGCTTACAGCAGGGTCTAAACTCAAATGATATTGAATGGGAATGTTTACATACTACTTTATACGCTGAAGCTGAACAGCTTATCAGACCTGAATAGCAAACTCACACGAGCAGTGCACTTTTCCTTATCAGATGTTTGTTAGGTTGCCTAATCAACAGGGGTATGTGCAAAACAACTAAATTACATTTAAAGGAGAATTGAGGTGGGAATTGTCGCATTATGCAAATGTAATCATCATGGAGCCATGAAATAATCATTTGGTTTTCATTCATCATAAAACAAGAATGTTGAACATGTGGTTTACATGGGTAATATGGATGTTGTATAAGACACAAAAGAAGACATTTCATTTCAGCTGGACTTTAAACCTTCTATAGTAAATAAGATGGTTTATACCTTTTTTAAATAATATAATGTGACCAAAGAAAAAATGTTTCTCTGGAAAGGTTAAAGGTGCGCTGTGTAGATTTGCGAGTGAAATTTGAAAGTTGGAAAAGCGAAACAATTGTATGCTATATTTTCTGAACTAAATACACAAACTGTATTCAAAGAAAAGAATGGTTCCCTGGAACACTGTTTGGAGATAAAAAGTGAGCAGGAGAGCCCCCACCATAACTTCTCTTGTATCATTTTATCTTCAGACATTGTTCCAGGGACCACATTTTCCTCTGAGAACAGTTTGTGTATAGAGTTATGAACATATACCACAGAATCTGTACATTTCTCCAACTTTCACATTTCTCTACCAAAACTACAGAGTGCACCTTTAAATTGAAGGTTTTTTTTTTGTTTTTGTTTTTTTTACTGGATTGAAGCAAAAACTAGATTTAAAAAGTTTGGCTTGCATTTAGAGTTTAATGGACCAAACTTCTTTAGTACACTAAGGTGTATAGAGTTCAGTTTCAATTTTTCAAGAATGACAGTTCCTGGATAGGATTTACCATGAAAACATGTTAGATGTTGCTCATGCATTTTTCATTAAAGGGCATTTTAGACAATCATCATGTGATTGTTGATTTTCATATTAAACTTTTAAATTCACAGAGGTGTGAAGAATGTACAGGGGAAAAAAAACTGAATCTTCCTAATATGGGATTCTCAGCTGCTCTCTGTGCTGTGGGACTGCATTTCTTCTGCTAACTTATTACCTGACTTTAAACATTTACCTCAGCTGAACTTTGAGGATCCATTTGTGTGCGACGCAGGACTGACGAAGTGACTTGAAGTGAATATTGTTAAAAGTTTTTTTTTAAATAAATAGCATACCTTTATATATCCTTGTTAGTTATTATTGTTGTTTGTACCTTTATGTTTCTTATGTCTGTAAGAAATCTGCAATTTCAGAGAGAGCCGCTGTGTTGGGATCAATAGATCCCATGAGCAGTCATTGCGGAGAAATACTGGTGAAACTATGAAAGTTGGTGTATGGTATAAACCATTTTAATAATTATAATTCACCACTTGTTTTTTTTTTGTTCAGTATTAACACTGCAAGCTTGCTGAAAAGTAGTCGTCCATGATTTTGGTTAAAAATATTTAACACAGCAAGTAAACTCATTTATTACAGCACATAAGACAAAAAGCTCTGTCATTGGATCTCTTGAGTATGACACGCATGGTTTTTCTTCTATATAAATATGACCACGATAATTCAGAGAATTCTAAAGAATATTCAACCTTTTTGAATAAAGTTTCTATACCTTGTATCACATTGTCTAAAGAAAAAAAGTCATAATTTGAGAATAAAGACCTCAAAGTATGAAATTAAGTTGTGCATGTATTGTTACATAGACTTGTTAAGTAAAAGATGGATGGATCTTTATGTCATGGTTGTTAAAAAACGATTTTTGTTGTGCCAGTAAAACATAAAAGGGACTGGGCAGATATTTGCATAAAATTTGTTGACCTGTTCAAAGGTTCTGGCACACTCATTAGCTTAACTTTTAAGTTACATGTCTGAGCGTCAGGGGTCAGAGGTCTGCTGCTGTGTTTGTCCACTGAAGCATGTGCCACTTCAAACTCTATCAGAGATCAATAATTACCAAACACCCATCTCTCTCCCTGCCCTACCATTGGTGGATTGTGAAGGACTAAAACAACCAAAAAGCCAATGACACATTGAGCTGAAGAGTGATCGCCCTCAGATCTTCACCAGCACACAGTCTCCCTCCCTGTAGACTACCTTCAGCAGTGACAGTGGGAGCCGCCTCCTCTCTCCAGTGTGATCTCTGTCTCCAGGTGTCTGCTCAAGTCTTTGGCAGAAAATACTCAGCAGGATGTCTTCTTTAAAGGAGATATGCAGTGGTCTCCCGTTGGACCCTCTGCCCTCTAACCAGGGAAGAGACCCCAATGTGCCGCATGCACCCATCAGGACCCCCAACCTTACAGCAGAGGAGGAACGGGTGAGTAAATACATACAGTTTCTGTGCATTTAAATAATGGTTTACAATTGGCTCTGCATTATTTATCAATGTAACATGCACAATATTTGAATTTTCTATAGGATTAGTTATTTTGAGCGGAGAACTCTAAAAGTTGCTTTTCCAGAGACGATGTCATTATGGCATGCTGTGTACTCTGACCTGTTACATCACTTTGCTGGCCCATGTCCTATCTAATAATACACTGGATTATTCTCTTAGGTCCTAAACTGATTGCCCAAACTTGAAGCAAATACTCAGTATATCAAAGAGTGTGGTCTAGACCTGTTCTTTTGTAAAGTGTCTCAACATAACATTTTTTGGAATTGGTGCTATACAAATAAAGATGAATTGATTGACTCAATACCCATATATAGTCAATCTAAAAATAAAAAATGAGTGCTATAACTGTTATGTTTATGAATGTTATTTGAACATTGGTTTGCATATCACAGTGTGACACTAACCTGCTGTTAATTCCTGATCCCTTTAGTTGGCACTGAGAAATGCCCTGCGGTATTTCACCCCGTCACACCATTCAACACTCGCACCTGAATTTGCTCAAGAGCTGCGGCAGTACGGCCACATCTACATGTACCGCTTCTGCCCCACAATGCGCATGAGGTGAGGCGACCAGAACTGGCATACAATTTATTTAAAATATTTTGACAGGTAATAATCTTTCAATTTGATTCCAAGGTTAAAACGAAAATATGCGTTGTGGTAGAATATAAAACAACATGTTAACATAAATGAGTTGTCAACCATGAAAGTACCCAGACAGGAGAAGTTCCTTTTTTACAAATAAAAAAACAACAACGGATAGATGTCAGTAATGCTTTTTGACAATACCAGGCCAAGAGTCAAATGTCACATATTAAATGTCAAATAAAACATGGCACATAGTGTTGCTTTGCTGCTACAACCTTTCTGGTTTGAGTCAATTTGTAAGGACTTTTTAAGTTCTTGGTAAAGATTTAACTGGTTGAATTAAATAAACGCACCTTTCCTCACATAGACTAGGTCAGAATTCCCAGGGTCCTCCTGTAATTAAAACTACAAGGTTCATTGTCCTGTTTTAATGTTGTATTGTCCAGTCATTTACATTGCACAACAATGGTGTCTTTCTCTGTGTTTCTTCAGAGCTTACCCCATTGATCAGTATCCATGCCGTTCACGTCAGGCAGCCTCCATCATGCTAATGATCATGAACAACCTGGACCCTGCTGTTGCTCAGGTGACACTTGTGTCAAAGCTAAATCTCTGTATGAGGTCTTAATTCACTGCTTCAATGACACCTTCATGTTTCTTGATCCTTCAGTTCCCCCAGGAGCTCGTCACATACGGAGGGAACGGACAGGTGTTCAGCAACTGGGCCCAGGTTAGCCCAGAGTTAGCTTTTAGGTCAACAAGTAGTTTTTGTTATGACTGATGAAGTTTGAGTGCAAGAATATTAATGTTTGTGTGTGTCTGGATGCAGTTTCGCCTGGTGATGCATACCTGAGTGAGATGACGGACGAACAAACGCTTGTCATGTACAGCGGTCATCCCATGGGCCTGTTCCCAAGCCTGCCTTCCTCACCCCGCGCCATCATCACTAACGGCATGGTAACAACCCAACACAAATCTTGATCAAATAATACTTTTAGTCAATATTATTCCCTTTCTGCTGTCCTAACTTACTCTTTTTGTTTAATCACTCAGGTTATTCCAAACTACTCCTCCAAAGAGCAGTATGAAAAGATGTTTGCTCTTGGTGTGTCAATGTGAGTTCTTAACAGAGGTTTAAATTGAGTTATCTGGCTTTTCTTATTTTGAGGTATATAAGAATTATGAGGTAGAAAATAATGTAATATTTACTGTATGGGAGAAGAGTTAGACCCAGGTGTGTTTATGTGTGTTCTGTCTATTTTCAGGTACGGTCAAATGACAGCAGGAAGTTACTGCTACATTGGCCCTCAAGGGATTGTTCATGGCACAATGGTTGGTTATTATTTTATTTTTTTTAGTTCATCTTCTATTTTCTGTAAATACCATGTATATAAATATACAAATGTCAACATCTGTTTAAGGTTATGTGGGTGTACTCAAATATATAGAGATTTTATCATGAGAATGAGTTATAAAGCATCTGCTAAGTGAATTGTAGAATTGTAATCACATCTTGTATATTAATCATTCATATGTGAAACTATATCTGGTCTTTACATCAAGATAAGTACATAATAATAAATGTATATTAGTTCATTTGTAAGACAGATAATTAGTGTTAAATATTAGATATATGGAGAAGTTTAACAATTGATTAATGCATAGGTTCATGTGTATATAAATAGGAAAGCTGACATGTGAAAAGTCATGGTATTCAAACAAATGTTTGAAGACATCAAATGCATTTAACTTTTCACTGTTTGTACATATTGCTTTCTAATTATTTGTTTTACTTTTACACCCAGGAGGTCTTATTATTAGTGTAACAATCTAACTGTGCCTCTCAGAAAGTTATTCTTCTTTTAAGGTTTTTCTCGCATATTTACTTCTTGACCTTTTCTTGTGAATCACTGGATGGTTTCATTTTTTTACACCTTTTATATTTTTAAATTATTCAATTTGAGAAGAGAAAACGACTCTTTGTTGAATTCCTTGCAGCCCACACAACTGGTTGGAATCAATGTTCAATGTATAATGAAATCACACCTCGTTTCCTGTTTTAATACGTTTCTTCGTGTCTTTCTGTACAGCTGACTGTGCTGAATGCTGGCCGGAGGTACCTGGGCTCAGGTGACTTGAGCGGTTGTGTCTTTGTGACCTCTGGCCTGGGGGGCATGAGTGGAGCTCAGGCTAAAGCTGCTGTTATTGCTGGTTGTGTTGCTGTGGTCGCAGAGGTCAACTGCTCTTGAGTCATTTCCTGTTAATACTCACTTCTATTGGAGCTAAATGAAAGGAACTTCATCATGTCAACGTGATTGTGTGATTTGGTTTGCATGTAGGTGGATGAGGCTCCTCTAAGAAAGAGGCATGAGCAAGGCTGGCTGATGGAGGTCACTAGCAACACTGAGCACTGTATTAAACGCATAAGGTAACTAACAAAAAATAAGGAAAAAGGATTTCTTAACCACAAGCATATAATGTTACATATTGAACCATGTCTACTGTAAGACAAAGTATCTTTGATTATTTTGTCTCTTGCAGAGAAGCCAAGAGCTCCGAGACTGCCCTCAGTCTGGGTTACCATGGCAACATTGTAGACCTATGGTAAGTAATAGGTGAAAACTTTTTCACGGCACAGACATTTGGACCTTGGTCAGCAGCTTATTTCTTTCTGCGACCTCGTTCTTTGTGATCAGGGAGAGGCTGCTGTTAGAGCACGAGAGGACGGGGGAGTTGCTGGTGGATCTGGGTTCAGACCAGACCTCCCTGCACAACCCTTTTAATGGCGGATACTACCCAGTTCAGCTCAGCTTCCGCCAAGCCAATCAGCTCATGGCAACTGATCCTAATCGTTTTCGGACCATGGTTCAGGAAAGGTAAAACTAATCGCCCAGATTTACTTCTCTGCCATATTCTATTAAATATGTGGGTCTATTTAGATAATATAAAATGTTTTGCAAAACTTCACAGCCTCTGTAGACACATTAGAGCTGTCAACAAGCTGTCTGATGCTGGTATGTTCTTCTGGGACTACGGTAATGCGTTTCTACTAGAGGCCCAAAGAGCCGGTTAGTATTTAACACTACACACACAAGTTATAACTTCACAACCATACAGTCCAAGTCAAATCATTAAAAAGTTTTTTTTTTGTTTTTTTTTTTACAGGCGCAGATGTAGGAAAAGTTGGTGGAGGAGCCACAGAATTTCGTTACCCGTCTTATGTCCAGGATATTATGGGGTGAGACCTTTTCTTATTTATTTGATCTAGCTGTGATCTTTGAATAGAAATGCTTAACTTTAGAAAAAGGCAGACCAACAATTTGATCAAATCATTTCTTTTTTGCAATGTATTATAAAGGTTCTGTATGCTTCTTCTTGTGCCCCAGGGATATTTTCTCTTTGGGCTTCGGCCCGTTTCGCTGGGTGTGCACATCTGGGGACCCTCAAGATCTTGCTGTAACAGACAACATCGCGGCGACTGTCCTGGAGGAAATGAGTGCCAATGTTACTGATCGCGTCAGACAGCAGTATGATGACAACATACACTGGATCAGAGAGGCTGGAAAACACAAGATGGTCAGCAGCATTAGTGAATTTGAATTCTCTCAGTGGGAATCTGATAAGGCCATACAAAGCAGTAGCAGGATGATTTCCTCTGTATTCTTCTTTGTTTAGGTTGTGGGATCCCAGGCCAGGATCCTTTACTCTGACCAGAAAGGAAGAGTCTCTATAGCTCTGGCTATAAACCAGGCGATCGCTGATGGAAGAGTCTCAGTAAGAGGATAAATTGTCTGCTAAGAAGATCATTTCCTGTTAATGCGGTATACTGAATATCAAGTTTTCACTGAGGTCTGTTTGTTATCTCACATTGTCTCTGTCGCTCAGGCTCCTGTGGTTATTAGCAGAGACCATCATGACGTCAGTGGCACAGACAGCCCCTTCAGAGAAACCTCCAATGTGTATGATGGATCAGCCTTCTGTGCAGGTATGTGCTGTGCAGAGGGACGCAGCTTGAAACTGCAGTTCAATATGACAATCTTAATATTTCAGACTGGCAGGAACAAACAGGTCCTGCATAACCAGACTATAATGAAACAAAAATTAAAAACAAATCAACTGTAAAATAAAATAAAACCTAAGGCATGTTTAATGTGTCTTCAAAATATATATTACAATATAAATGAGTCCTGAAACTAACCAACCTATTATGAGGTTTTCTTTTCTCTAAAGAAAACCAGAAGTATACACCGGTCAAAGACAATGTAACACTTATTATGTATTGCCAGTTCTATGCTCTGTGGACAGTGATGCATTGTAGCATTACATAAGGAAGCAGCAGAACACATACGGTAATATCTCAATTACACGAGACATGAAAATAATGAGACTGCATTCTACATCCAGCCTCCTTTTCCTTTCCGCTATTAGAGAGAAAAGGGAGGCTGGAGAAGGCGATAGGATATCAATGGTTCAATATTCTATTGCCTCTCCTCCCAGTCTCTCTTCATTCATAGAGCAGGTCTGGACCTTACTCTTTACATATACAACTAAGTAGATCACAAAGGACTAAAGCAGCAAGACAACACACAAAATCCCTGTCTGAGGCAGCAGTCCCCACTCATAAGCCTCCACCTTCTCAAGCCTGTACCTGTGTTTTTAAACACTGAGGCTAGGTGCACCTTCAGTGATCAGTGGCTTCACCTGGATAGAGGTGGAGACAACAGAAGGGGAGAAGGGACAAACTGCACAGGGAACAACATACAGCTGTAACACCCCCACCCTTAAAACAATGACTGATGATTTGTAATAAAATCACACAGCAATAAATATAAACTTAATGCTTATGTGGCATACCAAATTTATTTTAAAAAAAACTGACATTATTGATTAATTGAAACAATGCGCAAATAATTTCTTAACACATTCAATTACCAAAATGAGTGCTACTTACCATGGCTGTATGTTAAAAGATAAAACACAGCTAACTGCCTTGATCAAAAACACTCCATTCACCAAATACACCCTAAAGACATTCACACAGACTCGTCATGAGGACTAATTTAGATGGTAACTAGTCTAGACTTAGATTCTTATGAGATCATTTTAATATTGACAACTTTGAGGATAACGAAATGGGGAGGACTGATAATGTATTTTATGGCAGTTTAAGTCAAGTAGCTTTTGGATTCACTTTAAACATTTACAATATAGATAATAGACGTAAAGCTGATTATAGTTATAACAATTTCTCCTCCATACAGACATGGCGGTCCAGAACTTTGTTGGTGATGCATTCAGGGGCGCCACGTGGGTAGCGCTTCACAATGGTGGTGGTGTTGGTTGGTAAGGCTGTCTTGTTCAAAATACAAATCTGTGTGAATGGTTGTTGTTATTCCTAGCCAATAAGTAAATCAAAACATACCTTATACCATGTCAGAGTGTTTTAATTTTTTTTGATCTCTTGTCAAACCCACAGGGGCGAGGTGATGAACGGAGGCTTTGGTCTGCTGTTGGATGGCTCAGACGAGGCAGGGAAGCGAGCCAGACTGATGCTCAACTGGGACGTCTCCAATGGGGTGAGAGTGTGACAAGAGAAGAGTCACATGATAGATTCCAGCCTCACTTTAGTTTACATGAAAACATTTGACAGTTGACAGCTGGCCTGCTCTTATCTGTTTATGTGTGCTGCAGGTGGCTCGTCGATGCTGGTCTGGAAACTCCAACGCCTACGAAACCATCCAGCGCACCATGGAGGACAACAGCCAGTTGCGGGTCACCATGCCATTTCCTGTTCAGGATGAGCATATACTGGACCGTGCCCTGCAAGGCTGAACAAGACATAAAGCTTAGGTTTTTAATCCTGAAACACATATTCATTATGTCCAGTGCCAAATATTAAACCAAAAGTGCATTCAGAACAAAGCCCATATGAGTCATTTGTCTATCAGCAAATTCAAAAATGTTTTCTTCAATATCATAATATGAAAATGGAGATATGTTTTAATACTTTGTATTGTTAAATTAGAAAAAGGACTGTAGTTTAATACAGAATGAGTAGAAAAGAAAAATCCCGCACACTACTCTTGCTCAGTTCACCAAATACTGAGCAGGAGTAGTGTGCTGGATCTTTCGTTTAAAGTCATAGTTTTTCGACCTAAGCACCCACCTGAAGAGACAGTTGGACGTGTGAGCACCTTAAAAAAAATACAAAAAGAGCAGTCAAAAACTGGAGGATCTTCTGAAGGGATGTTAAAACTAAGTTTTGAAATTGCTTTGATTTTCTCCAACTACAAAGTCATTGTTGATAAGAGCTACAGCGAGATAGATAGCGAGCTACAAAGTGGCAAAGCTCTCATCTAATATGAATATAGTTCAGTGCACTGTATGTCACAGTCTAGGTCAATGTTGTGAAAGAATCATACATGTAAAATTTCAAATACTTTTGATAAAAGGTATTGAAGCGCTATAAGAATATATTCAACCATAAACTCCATTTTCACTTGATAAGTCATTTCTGGTTGTTTTCCAAGCTCTGTACTTACTTTATTTGTTATCTCGGGGATAAAAAAAAATCAGTTTATTTCCCATTTATAAAGGATTCATTTATCCCATTATGGTGGGGTAACAAGGCTTCTAGATCTAGTAACAAAACAAAAGACTGGTCACTGTGAAAGGCCAGACCACCACAGGATGCAAACTAAGCCTATAAGCTATCTATTTTTGTTGTTTGCTTTGCAAGTTATGGAGATAAGAGATCTGGAGAAAACAAACAGATATCACGGGAAACCGAGGTAATAAAAAGTATTTGTTCCTTTAAGAATTTGGAATTGAGCCTCTCTGCTGACGTCAGGGAATCTGAGAGGTTGGTGTTCCCTGCATGAGGAGGCAGATGAACGTGATGAAGACCGACCAGGGATACCAGCATACTTTTTAGCATTGTTCTGTCCTCGTAGTCATTTGGTTTGTTTACCCATCTCTTCACGCACATTCAGAAAACAGGTGGAGTCGTCTGAGGTCCCCTGTGCCAACATAACGGTGCGTTTTCAGACCTCCGCCCTTTTTGGATAGAATGCAGATTTTGTTTTGCTCTTACAGTGTTCAAAGTGCGTTTAGAGGAAGTACAAAAGTCTTGCGGGCAAGGAAGATTCTGAATATTTTCTATGGCAGAGGCTGATCACCGTTTCGGATGAAATGCATCACAACCGGGGGGAAGAGCCGGTAAATCCAATTACTGCGCAGCACGGGACAGCACGCCACAGTGGCTCCACCAGCCCGGAGAGCAGCCTGGTCAGTGGCCTCACCGGGCTCCAGCCCCCTCCTTACCCTTACCTCGAGTTCAAGAGAAATGCAGTGACAGATGATTATAAAATCACCGCGCAGGTTCTCGGCTTGGGAATCAATGGCAAAGTGCTGGAGTGTTACTGCAAGAAAACAGGAGAGAAGTGTGCCCTCAAGGTGTGTGTGTTTTTTTTGTTTGTGTCAATATGTGGGCCTGTCTGCTTCACCCAACTGTGATCTGTAACGTGTCCATTTCTGGAGTCACTGAAGAGAAAGAGAGCATCCATCAATTATTAATTTCTTCTTTATGAACTCATAATGTTGTATCAAACTGGAAATCTGAATCAGCTGAAGCTTCATTATGTGAACATTTTTTTTTTTATAGTGTTTTATCTAATGCGGATGAAGTAGAAATAATTCATGACGCCTGAAGGAATAATCTTAAGCTAAAGTTTATTATTGAGCTGCCCAGATAGTAGATGAGTGTGAGACAGTGATGTGCTATGGGATGCTTTGACACACTTAACGAGATTGTTGTGTGGAACAATGATCTGCTCTGATGCTCTACATAATCATCTTTGTCTACTAACAAACTGGTATCACTCACAGATTCCCAATTAAGTAAAGAGCTTACTAGAAGTTTACATTTAAAAGTCTGGGAAATATGGAAAAGCCGTTAATTCATCAAGCAGCTGTCTGTAGGGTTGTACTGAAGCCATAAGAAAATACAAACAGGAAGAGCAGCCACATGGGGGTTTCCACATGTTTTCTTTGGGATTCAGTTGGTCATAAGCCAAAAGTGAAAAAGTATAATAGCCTTAGCTCTAACTTGTGTTTTGTGTTAATAGTGGTTCATAGTGGCTTCAAGAAAATTTGGACAAAAAAAAAAATTGAGATCTAAAATTGTCTGGGGTCTACATGTCCAGAAATAAAGGATATCACCCCCCTCCCCTATCTGTAACACCACAGCTACATACTGTGCCTTTGACAGCATATGGCTAAAGGGCTAAATGCTTTCTTAATTCGTTCACTTGTAATGAACTATTCACTCTAGTCAAAGTCAAAGTCAACTTTATTGTCAATTCCAAAATATGCCAGACATACAGTGGAATCGAAATTGCGTTTGTCTCCGTCCCGCGGTGCAATACAACCAAAATAAGGTAAAATAAGATAAGGTAAAATAGATCAAATAAAATGAGGTAAAAATAAGATAAATAATATTTACAGTAATAAATTCTAAATTGTGCAAAAGGTACAAAATGGTAAATAAATAAAATAAAATTTAAAGAAAAGGTAAACTTGTGCAATGTGTGCAATGTGCAGTAAACTGAGTGTACTTTTGAATAGTTAGCTTCAGAGTTATTAGTCCAGAGTTCTTGGTGGAAAACGGGAGGGGGTTTCAACGTCCAGTGTTCGTGGGGGCAGAGGGGAGGGAAGGAAGAGAGGGGAGAGAGTTAAGCTAGAAATTACAACTTTAAACAGGAACTACATTTGTTTTTGTGATGCCTAACAGGTCTGCATGCAAACAGGGCTTTTCCATGTGTGTTAAGTGATTTCTTGAAAAGGATTTCAAATGATTTAATTTCAACAAAACAATACTCTTTTACCAATATGGGACATTTGATTGATATGTGTTTGTGGAGCAGATCCTGTACGATACCCCTAAAGCCAGACGGGAGGTAGAGCTGCACTTACGAGTTTCTGGAGGTCCCCACATCGTTCGAATCCTCAGTCTGTATGAGAATATGCACCAGGGGAAGAAATGTCTCCTCATTATTATGGAGTGGTGAGCATGTCTTTATTTGTCGGGTTCTCAGTCATCCAGGTCAAGGTAATTTAAAGTTTAATCCAAAAGGCAACTGGATACAGGAAGTATTCACGCCTGTATTTTGCAGCTTGCAGAAGTGATTCAGATGCATTGAAATAAATATATTTTTAGCAACAATTAAAGGTAATTTTACTGCTGTATTGAAATAAAGCTCATTTGGAATTTCCATATCATGAACACAAACATTATCTTTTTAAACGTCTCAAATTCCTGGCTAGATTTTCCCTTGAATGTAATGTTGCGTGAGTGTCCAACACTGGACTCAATTCAGCAGTAAACAAATGAATTCCTTTGTTGTCCCACCACAATTGGATTACAAAGCTGAGTCTGTTTGCCAGGATTGCTCTCTCTTTCCCCTTTATGATCTTTCATCTAATTTCATCTCAGTATGGAGGGAGGGGAGCTGTTCAGTCACATCCAGGCCAGGGGGGATGAGGCCTTCACCGAGAGAGGTTGGTTAAGAAATTAACCTCAAACAGATTCTAATAATGAGTTTCTTCACCTGTATTTGATATGTTGATATAATGTGTGTTTATCAGAGGCGTCAGAGATCATGCATGACATTGGCACAGCCATAGAGTACCTGCACCACATGGACATCGCTCACAGGGATGTAAAGGTACTGCTGCTGTTGTTCTTCAGGAATAATGTGAGAGAATCTTAAACGTTTGAATCTTTAAGTGTTTTCTTCATTGTCATGAACACTTTAGCCTGAAAACCTGCTTTACACCACCAAAGAAAGTAACGCTACACTAAAACTGACCGACTTTGGCTTTGCTAAGGAGACAACTCAATACAACTCCCTGCAGACTCCCTGTTACACTCCATATTATGTCGGTGAGTATTGGCTGCTGTATGTCTGAAATACTTTTCGTAAAATCATTATTGTGTCATTGTTTTAAATGTGCTATTATAGCCGTAGGCTTTGAATTGTTGATGTTATTTGATTTCATCTTGTCTGTCTACATAATGGACTGCTTTTGTGGAACAGTGTCTGTCCTTCTCCACAGTCCTGTGTTGTTTTTTCTGTGCCTTTGTCTGTTCAGCTCCAGAGGTGCTTGGGCCAGAGAAATATGACAAGTCATGTGACATGTGGTCTCTGGGCGTAATCATGTACATTCTGTGAGTGTCATGCACATCTGAAACTGATGGAACTTAATCCATTTATAGCTAATTTCTGAAGCGTTATATAATGGTAAACCCTGTGATTTGGTAAATAAAGATAGAATAATAACCTTATCGCTTTCCTGTCTTCTCTTTTTTCTTCAGTCTGTGTGGGTTTCCTCCGTTCTACTCAAACACAGGTCAGGCCATCTCTCCAGGCATGAAGCAGAGGATCAGGCTGGGCCAGTACAAGTTCCCAAACCCTGAGTGGGCTGATGTCTCTGAGGAAGGTCAGATATCAAACGTATGGTTTATAAATCAAAGGAAGAGATTTAAAAAACGGTAACAACTGCGTACATTGTATTACAATCAGTACAATCAAGTTTTATGTTCTCACCTCTGTAGCGAAACAGCTCATCTATCAGCTGCTGAAGACCGACCCCAATGAGAGGATGACCATTGGACAGTTTGTGAACCATCCCTGGATCAGTGTTAGTCATCACATTGTCTTTCAGTTGCCATACTATGTATCTTTCCTACATTTATTCCTAAGATTTGTGTGTTGTTTACACAGCAGCAGTCTATGATAGTCCCTCCGACGCCCCTGCACACCTCTCGAGTTTTGACCGAAGACAAGGAGCTGTGGGATGACGTAAAGGTGAACCCACGCCGACTGTCTTGTTTCCTAAACTCGACCAGCAGATGGCA